CAAAATTTCGACGAATATTTGGGGTAAAATCACTGAAAAGTGGGGTTTTTTTATCAATGAATTTTGCTCAAATCTTCAAAATATTGGGTGTTTGCATGTTAATTGATGCTCCTCTTACCTTCCAACGAAGTCTGGAGAAAATTCATTTTTTGGCCAAATTTCATAAAAAAGTAAGGCTAACCCCTTGCCTTTTTTCAATTTTTGGCCAAAAAATGAAACTATTTCAATTTGCTTGGAAAGATGCTGAAGGGACCCTGAAACACATTCCAATCCGAAATATTGACAGATAAGCGTTTTTAGACAAAGATTCTGCAACGTTGGGAGAAAAGTCGTTTTTGGCCAAATTTCATCAAAAATGTAAGGCTAACCCCTTGCTGTTTTTCAATTTTTGACCAAAAAATGAAGTTGTTTCAAATTTGCTTGAAAAGATGCTGAAGGGACCCTGAAACACATTTCAATGCGATATATGGACTGATACTCTTTTAAAGACAAAATTTCGACGAATATTTGGGGGAAAATCACTGAAAAGTGGGGGTTTTTTAATCAATGAATTTTGCTCAAATCTTCAAAATATTGGGTGTTTGCATGTTAATTGATGCTCCTCTTACCTTCCAACAAATTTCTACAAAGTCTGGAGAAAATTCATTTTTTGGCCAAATTTCATAAAAAAGTAAGGCTAACCCCTTGCCATTTTCAATTTTTGGCCGAAAAATGAAATTGTTTCAATTTGCTTGAAAAGATACTGAAGGGACCCTGAAATACATTCCAATCCGAAATATTGACGGATAAGAGTTTTTAGACAAAGATTCTGCAATGTTGGGAGAAAAGTCGTGTTTGGCCAAATTTCATCAAAAATGTAAGGCTAACCCCTTGCTGTTTTTCAATTTTTGACCAAAAATGAAGTTGTTTCAAATCTGCTTGAAAAGATGCTTAAGGGACCCTGAAACACATTTCAATGCGATATATGGACTGATAAGCTTTAAAGACAAAATTTCGACGAATATTTGGGGTAAAATCACTGAAAAGTGGGGTTTTTTTAATCAATGAATTTTGCTCAAACCTTCAAAATATTGGGTGTTTGGATGTTTATTGATGCTCCCCTTACCTTCCAACGAATTTCTACAAAGTCTGGAGAAAATTCATTTTTTGGCAAAATTTCATAAAAAAGTAAGGCTAACCCCTTGCCTTTTTTCAATTTTTGTCCAAAAATGAAATTGTTTCAATTTGCTTGGAAAGATGCTGAAGGGACCCTAAAACACATTCCAATCCGAAATATTGACAGATAAGCGTTTTAAGACAAAAGTTCTGCAATTTTGGGAGAAAAGTCGTTTTTGGCCAAATTTCATCAAAAATGTCAGGCTAACCCCTTGCTGTTTTTCAATTTTTGACCAAAAAATGAAGTTGTTTCAAATTTGCTCGAAAAGATGCTGAAGGGACCCTGAAACACATTTCAATGCGATATATGGACTGATACTCTTTTAAAGACAAAATTTCGACGAATATTTGGGGGAAAATCACTGAAAAGTGGGGTTTTTTTAATCAATGAATTTTGCTCAAATCTTCAAAATATTGGGTGTTTGCATGTTAATTGATGCTCCTCTTACCTTCCAACAAATTTCTACAAAGTCTGGAGAAAATTCATTTTTTGGCCAAATTTCATAAAAAAGTAAGGCTAACCCCTTGCCATTTTCAATTTTTGGCCGAAAAATGAAATTGTTTCAATTTGCTTGAAAAGATACTGAAGGGACCCTGAAATACATTCCAATCCGAAATATTGACGGATAAGAGTTTTTAGACAAAGATTCTGCAATGTTGGGAGAAAAGTCGTGTTTGGCCAAATTTCATCAAAAATGTAAGGCTAACCCCTTGCTGTTTTTCAATTTTTGACCAAAAATGAAGTTGTTTCAAATCTGCTTGAAAAGATGCTTAAGGGACCCTGAAACACATTTCAATGCGATATATGGACTGATACTCTTTTAAAGACAAAATTTCGACGAATATTTGGGGTAAAATCACTGAAAAGTGGGGGTTTTTTTAATCAATGAATTTTGCTCAAATCTTCAAAATATTGGGTGTTTGCATGCTTATTGATGCTCCTCTTACCTTCCAACGAATTTCTACAAAGTCTGGAGAAAATTCATTTTTTGGCCAAATTTCATAAAAAAGTAAGGCTAACCCCTTGCCTTTTTCAATTTTTGGCCAAAAAATGAAATTGTTTCAATTTGCTTGAAAAGATGCTGAAGGGACCCTGAAACACATTCCAATCCGAAATATTGACAGATAAGCGTTTTAAGACAAAAGTTCTGCAATGTTGGGAGAAAAGTCGTTTTTGGCCAAATTTCATCAAAAATGTAAGGCTAACCCCTTGCTGTTTTTCAATTTTTGACCAAAAAATGAAGTTGTTTCAAATTTGCTTGAAAGATGCTTAAGGGACCCTGAAACACATTTCAATGCGATATATGGACTGATAAGCTTTTAAAGACAAAATTTCGACGAATATTTGGGGTAAAATCACTGAAAAGTGGGGTTTTTTTAATCAATGAATTTTGCTCAAATCTTCAAAATATTGGGTGTTTGCATGTTTATTGATGCTCCTCTTACCTTCCAACGAATTTCTACAAAGCCTGTAGAAAATTCATTTTTTTTTACCAAATTTCATTAAAAATGTAAGGCTAACCCCTCTCCGTTTTTCAAATTTTTGGCCAAAAAAATTATTTGTTTCAAATTTGCTGAAAAGATGCTGAAGGGAATCTGAAACACATTGCAATCCAATATTAACCTCGCTTGCGACCGGCCTAAGTACCTATTAATATGAAAGCATGTTCAATATGCCACCATTGTTTTTATTTTTGTCATGTTTGCATAATTTGTGACTCCTGTACTTCCAGAAATCGCAATCATTATCAAATTCAACACATAATACTCCTCAAGGCTCAATGCTGCAGCCGACACATACATTTATAAACAGCAATTCATTGCAACACATGTTCATCGTGCATTGTTTGCCAAAAAAATTCAATTTTGCCCCAAGGTTACCAGTCATAACTGGGTTTTTTTTGCATTAATTTTAGCACAATATGTAATCGATTGGCATAATTTCCTACCTCCATGATTCAAATAACGGCAATCGATATGTCGACATTGTTTTCATGATGCGAAGCATTGTGATATACATGTACAACAATATACATCCCTACCGTGCATCAGGCTAAATGTACAGGATTTCGCATATTATCACCGTATGTGCGTGTGATACTATAACACTACATTTTTCCCATACATAGTGCAAAGGATAGCCATGGTTGCGAGGGTAGACGGAAAAGATGGCTGTCTTTAAACACGGTCCGTGCATTAACGACGTGTGTCATGCTCAATTAGGAATTCCCACTGGGTTTGCAGGGGCGCAGATAGCTAGGTCAGATTTGTTGGGGGGGGGGGGGGGGACGTGAAAAAGAGCACTCACCCATCAGTGCTGCCGTACGTGGAAGCTAGACAGGTTTTTTTCCCCCACAGGTCACTTGGCCTCCGTAAACGGTTGGGGGGGGGGGGGGGGGGGGGCGATATCATCTTCCTAAGGGGGCGCTGTTCAGACCGCACGATTCACAATAGGTGGCACTTTTCAGGCCGGTATGTACATTAGTTGTAGTAATCAGGTAGAGTTATCTAAATTTCCATTTTTAGAAAAAAAATAGTCAACGTTTTTCTATTTGGAGTGAAGGGAATTCTGCCGAGGTATCCCCTTTCATTTATACAATCAAACCCCAACTCTTATGCATGCAAATATTACTAAGAGGAAAACTCTCGAAGTCAACGGGGTATGAAGAGGGCTGACCCCCCCCCCCCCCCCAGCTACCATTCGGGCGCCCTTAATTTTGCCACTTTGAAGAAAAAATAATACTTAATCTGTTCAATGACTCCCCCAGCGGCGTACGTCCGCCCCCCGGTGAATAATACTACACTTGACTCTCCATGAAATTAAGTCCCAAGAAAGCACATTAAATAAATATATTAAATCGCCACAAAAAGCCCTCAAAACGAGAAACATAAAATAGAAAAATAAAGAACGAATGATTAAATGTCTTGTGTCTAGAAGACATGAATTAAATATGCAAAAAAAGGAATTTTAATATTCAAAACAATTCGTATACTGCATATACAATTCTCTTCAAAAACATTCTCAAACAATCCGAAGGAGATTTAATAACATAACTTAATTATATCTGGAGAGGATTATTTAAATCAGGAATGTAACCATTTGGTAGAACGGACAGTAAGCTATATCCCCAATCCAATCTGCCTCAATATTGAAATATTATCAATGACAATATTTAGATATTGATCATGGTTATAGCGCTCAAAATTCCAGAAGGATTTGCATCATCTGTCTGCCACTTGTGTCCACTTTTGTCAAAATTGCAACTACAGGGTGAGTCAAAAAAGCGAAACCCAAATGTCGGGAATATTGTTCTTTTAGTACATATATTCTTTTAGTACAAGAATCATTCAAATCACTCATGTACTTTCAAGTTGCGGGGTTTTAAACACAACCACCGTTTTAAAGTTCTATCCACGAATCACAAGAAGGTGAGTGTTCTTTCCGCAAAACGAAAACGAATCACATTGGGATGTGTGTGAATTGTTTTCGTTTTGCTGAAAGAACGCACCCCTGTTTTGTGATCTGTGGACAGAACTTTAAAACGGTGGTTGTGTTTAAATTCCGTAACTTGAAAAGTACACGAGTGATTTGAATGATTCTTGTACTAAAAGAATGCTTATGAATTGGGCTTTCATATACATTTTGAAAGTGCTACATGCGGAACTTCACAAAAAATGGTACTGACATTTGGGTTTCGTTTTAGTTTGCGACTCAGCCTCAGTGTACTGCCAATATTATTTTGTTTTCAATGAGAGTTTGCACAGTAGCGGCGAAAGGTCGAAAAAAAATTGCTCTTGTGTTCAATTATTGATTGTTTTTGCATGGCTCCCTGCACATTGTGCTCAGCAGTTTGACTCGAGAATAGAAACGAAGACTAGCAAGAAAGTATTACCGATCGATGTCTAGTTCCCTGACTGCGCCAGTAATTACCCGCCATTAACTCTCCGGTTTGGCCGGTGCCCGCTCATGTTTCTTTATTGCTGTTGTGTTTAACGACTGTTTTGTGTCTCCTGCCACCGCTAGTCCATTCAAGTTTGGCTGGTTCCCGTCAGCCTTTTGTGGATCTCCTGGTTTAATTTTTACCGCTGGTTTCAAGCCTTTGTTACTCTTGACCGCTGACGCGGCCTTGTTCTTGACCTCTGACACGGTCTTGGCGTTCACGTGACCCTTGGCAAGGGCCGTTTTGGCGGCTGCTACCCGCTGCTCGTTAATGGTTGTCTTGGATCGTTTGTCCCTTGCGTTGGTACTCTTTGGCTGCTGGTTAGGTATGACAGCTTTGAGTTTTTGTATATCCACTGAGATATTTGTATAGAGGGCGTGCAATTCAATGTGAGGTTTCTTGTACTTGAGGTTGTTCAGCCCATCGAGCCTGAAGCGAGGCTTGAAGCTTTTCAATAATTGCATTCTGTGTTAGAAGAAAGAAAAATAACTTTAAAGCAAAATTTAAGTGAATGTTCGGGAGATTTTTGGGCCCCGCAGATGACGCAGTGCGGCTCTCTAACGCGTGGCAAATTCGATCAAGACATTACTAGTACTTGATTCATTACGTCACGGGGTCGCACCTGGTTCCTTGCATTGTTAACATGTTAAGTATGACACTTGGTTGTTTTGAAGTTTTATCACTGCGATGATTAAAAAATCCACTTTTTGACAGTAGAATTTTAAAAGAAAATTCTGGAAATGAATTGGGTTTTGTCTTATTACTGGTTCATAAGCAAACTGGCTCAGGCAATTTGGATCACCAAAGTTGGTTGAAGTTACAATACAAATTGGCACTAAAAACCAGCACGATCTGCACCAAGAATCGCCCAAGAGAGGGCGTTCTACCCACCTGTCTTTCAACTGTGGCGCGCTGACATGATGGTGTTTGATGACATCATAGTAACCATGCGGTCCCTGGACACGAGACACGGGTAGGCCCACCTCTTTGACTCGTTCCCAGATCTCGTCGTCCTCGCCTCCCCAGCCCCAGTACACGTTGGGAAAGCCGTTGATCTTGCGGATGTTGCCGACAGTGAAACCAGTCACTGCACCGAAGAAGTTGTTGTAAGGTAACCTGAAATCAGTGAGAATACCAAGTGTGGGTGTAGTAAGCCAAAACGGAATAGGTATGACCTATAATTAGAGAGAATCCTTTTGTTTGTGTTTCTCCCGAAGGATTTTTACTTTGTGCGATCATCCCTCAGTATAAAAAAAAACCTGTGCCACGTTGATACTAACACATTATTTTCTAAAATTACTGAAGTAGTCATACAGAGGTGGTGAATATGATATGGCGATATGGAATTTTAAAATTAACCCTCACGTCCTAAGGGCTCTTTCGGGGTCAAGGACCAACTACATATACTACTGGTGTTTATGTTGGGCACACTTGTATGGAACGAAATGCATACTACTGAGGTTACTAGTGAGGAGTATTTTGCCTCATGAATTGACTAAAGAATACTAATACATGCAATGGCCGCCTTTCAGAATGACGGGACTCTGCCACCTATAGGCCTAGAATTGACAAGCATGGGTGTTTCGAAGCAATGAATGAGTCCGTTCATGGATACTATTCTATTTTTAAAATTTATTTATTGTGATCATTAAAGAATGTATACATGCAGTTCTTTTCAGTTTGAAAATGGCTTTCACAAGGAACCCTCTAATTCATTCTAAAAACAAGTGTTGAGTGAAGCGCTGGCACCATATTCTGATGCTATGGGCAACCCATCGCAGTTACTGATGCTCTTTTGCACTTCCCTTGGGGGGAGCTTTATTTCTTGTCATGAAAAACGGACGGGGGGGGGGGGCTTTACTCACTTGTACTTCCACCGGTCCGCACCGCTAAGAAAATGCCTGGGCATGCCACTACACCCGTAGTAATTGAAATCACTCAGGGGTACGTGGTCCACATCGTGGAAAATGAAACAATCCCAGTGAGTGAAATTGAGCGTCTCCAGAAAACCGACATTCATGAGCATGGCACGGTTGAAAGCGAGGCTGTTCTCCTGTCAAAAGAAATAGTTATACATGTACATGTATTGTATGGCTTGTTTGTTGGTCATGGTCACTGTCTTTTGGTTGTTGGTTTGCAATAACTAACTGAGAGGATGATGAGTATACATCATTTGTTTCGGTATATAGTGATGCCTTTGTGTACCAATATGATTCCACTCAACAACTGACAACAAACTGAATCTTTTTCTATCAATATTACTTATTTTGACACCGTCAACCACCACAAGATGCCACAGCTTTGGTAAAGTTTGGTGTTGAAATGTTCTTCCACAATCAAAATAATATAAAACATTTGAACACTATATATGCCTGGCTACAACAGTTCAATTCAGTTCATATGTTTTTCAACATGCAACATAAAACCAACCTCACAACAGGTGGTAATAGAGGTGTCAATGCCTTTATGTTAATCACACATAGAAGGATGTGGCATCACAAGTCGATCTCTAATTATCAAAGGTCAATCAAAGTCATCCAGGTTTGAAGTAAGTTCGGTAAAACAATTCTAAATGAATGTTATTGTTCTAAGTCCGTTTACGACCTCGCGTGCGATTAGCTAACGATTGACTTATGACTGATTCTTGTGACTAATTGGATTACAGCACTGATTCAAGGAATGATTTTCGTACCTGGTTCACTGTATAAAAGGCGAATTCTAGCAGTTGCCTCTGCAGCATTGGTGTCAGATACCGGAGCACAATAGGCAGATGATACGAGCGGTTACGGAAGGGAAAGATAATCGCAACCTGTCAACATAATATTACAACAAAATCATTTCAGTTATGGATTTGAAATCATGCACCTGCCGTCGTGACGTCATGAGCTTTAACCTCGAACCAGGTTCAATCGTGCTGCCATAAAAGAAAGGGTTATTTTGACATCTCGTAAATGTTAAGTCAGTATATTAACGAATTGTGTGTTAAAGTGAGCACCATAGACCAATGTAATTGAAAGGTTTACATTTTGCAATTTTTTTCCCAGCAACAAACAAACTTAAACAAAAAAACCCTCTATAATGGATACATGTTGACCCCTTGCAAAGAGCGCCCTCAATGGAGACAGATCTCTGGCATGTCTCTTCATTTTCATTGTCACTGAATTTAAATAACCCGGCCGGTACTCTAAGTGTCTATATTGGGTAATCTGTTCAATTTAGGTACTTACAAGCTGCCTAAATTTAACACCGGAGTGCTTTTGTTTTTCAAATGTGCTTTTCCTTTACCTTCCATCTGGGCAAGCAGTTGTCTGGTTTCCAGTGCCCACCAGGCAGATAGGTATAGTTACTGATCCTCAGACCCAGCGGCGCCAGACTCTCCGCGATGGGTATGCGTACAGATGAATTGTACCGAGCGGCTTTCTCAAGCAGGTCTTGCAGCTCACGGTTGCCCGTGTCCACGACGCGCTGGACCCGTTGGCGATCCTTGCCAAGGACTTGCCACACCGATCCGTTCATCGGCATGTCTTGCAATTTCAGGGACCGCTTTTCAACTTGTCAAGAAAAACAAAATGTGTTGGATGTAAAAAGAAGTGAAGTCTGACTCTCTTGGTATCTCAAACAGATCTACTCACTCCAAGACGACTTTATTCAGCAAGGTCTTCTGAACAGACTTGATACTTTGTGTGATTTGCAAAATATAATGGGTTCAAAAAAATTCTACCAAATAAAGTGGGAAAGACAGCATGCTATTTTCTCACAGTTGAAGAAAATAATTATTTCTTATCCCTTGAATTCATCAAGTATTTAAATGGAGATAAACGAGTGCGAGATTTTGCTTTAAAAAGCCTTTAATCATTACTGATTAAGATAAAGTTTAAAACGGAAAATTAAAATATGATTTTTAACTCACTTAAATTAGGAATTTCCAGCTCTGGACAGACGGTCTTCACGGAACACTCGTGAGGTTTCTCCTCAACTGTGAAGAAATAATTCAAAAGAGCGAATGAAAGTGACTCACAAGAAAAAAATCAATCTTAAAGTGAAGATTTCTCCTACTACCTTTTGAGAAACCATCCCGATTCCCGAATCCTCCAAAATCTTTGAGTGTGCAGGACACTATTATTACACAAAAAGATTGGATGAATAATTTCTTGTTATAGAAATTAAGGGCCTCAACATTGAAAAGCACGTTTTACAGTCACCTTTCTTTGGCGCATCTTCCATCACTTCCTTTTTGCCCAGCGTCTTTTCATTGGCCGGTCGAATGGCGAAAAGATCAGCCAAATCTCCCAGACTATTCGCGACGCCTTTGAACACCAGAGGGCGCTGTTCAGCAGCTGTGCGGTTGACCGTAACATTAGTGAAATCACTCCTCATTTGTTCCGCCATTGCCCGCCTATCAACTGCTGCTAGGGAAAAAAAATAGCGCCACCGTTATAAACAACCAAAATTTTATAATTTTGAAATCTACGATGCTTTCGCCTGCATTCTAATTAAAAGGCAATTTGAGAATGAATTCAGTTAATATAGCAATCCACCTATTATTTTTGGCCACATTTTACTAGTATCATAAAATTAGACAGCCACTGAGCAGGGAGGGGGTGCTATGTTAACCCCCCCCCCCCCCCCCCCCCCCCCCCACCCCGATACACCACTGATGCATATTGCAAATCTTGCTTCATTTCTTCATATGCAATAGTGCACTTACAATTGATACTCAGGATTTTCTGTCAGTTGTACTATCAAAGGAGACACTGTTTCTTTACTCGAAGGTTGATAATATTAATGGTGGTTTGACAGATAATTTGAAGCGACTTTTGAATTTTCAGGAGAGATGGGCAGTTACGAGAGGACGCTGGTCTTAATTTTCTTTAAAACTTACTCCTAGATCCTTGCTCCCCGTTCCGGCTGACAGCGGACCAGACGGAGAAAGTCGATATCACCGAGATACCGACCAAGGTATAGAGCACGCCCAGCAGCACACACCGTCTGTGTGGCCTAGCACGAGGCGAGGATAAAGCGGCCAAGACCCGCCAACACTTGCCCGTAACGGTCCGCCCAGAAGCCCGCGGTCGAACTGGAGAGGTTTGCCTTCTCGTGCCTTGGGCATTGTGGCCGAATAAATCCGAAGACCTGCTGTCAGAAGGAAATACAAGTAACCACATGTTGCTTCTTTTGGGATTACGTATAGGCCTTTAACAAATCACGTAATGTGAACGCAGACTAGGTAGACGAACTCGTATTATTAGGCCTCATTTTTTTGTATAAAAAAGTTGAATATCAATTACTTGTTTTATAGGAAGGCTTTAGAATTGCATAGCTTTAATTTGCCGATTGCTGTTGGGCTGAAAATATTGCTTGACAAATGGAGAAATCAAGTGAAAAACATTCACAAACCATGCAGGAGATGTCAATTTTGGCTACTGTGATAATATTTTTCGCTTAGCGAATTTCTCTGCACTTAAAAGTTTTAAAGTTTAGCACCCTTAGTGCAGATTAAACTTGTTTCACATCCCTTGTTCTCTTCCAAGTTTTTCTTGCTTAAGGCCAAGTGAAAAAAATTAACCACTTTCTCATCCCCGCCAGCTTCCTTTTTTCCTCAGCCGCCTCCTTTTTAAAATCGTATATTCATTATGTTTTGTATTTTATGCGCTTCCAGCAAAATTGTAGCTCATGTAGGCTATGCAAGTTTAGAATAAATTAGAAATGGTAACGTCTCATTTGGCACAAAAGTATCTGCAAAAGAGTCGAGAAAATGAAAGAATCCATCTTAGAAGAGCCATCTTGAAAAAAGGGGGCTTCCACCCTTTAAAAAAAAACCCGAACGAGAATCCACTTTATTGTTTTACATGGCCTAACAGATCCATACTGAATTTGACCCATAGTTTAACACCATGATTAAATTTAACTTGAAATTTTAGCATTCGTAAATTCTTAATAGAACGCAGTGCTAACGCAATTCCTTGTGTCAAAAAACTAAGATAAATACGCAATACATGTACTAGTAAAAAGTCCAACACAATTTCACTATCTCCGAAAATTTTTGACAATATAGTATCTGAAAGGCATATACATGTACAAAGTTTCTACTTGTGTACGATCCATCTATGGCTACTGGTCATTCCGATCTACTGCCCGGTCCAGGTTTAAAAAAAAAAGAGTTATTTTGATAATGTAAGATACCCCCATTGTAAAAGTTCACAAACCGAAAGATCTTTGAAAACTGAAAAAAAACTCCATTCCTGTTCAGAATTGTATCAACACATGACACCATCTCTCGTGTCGGTGTTGTTTGTGTAAATTATATAGGTCAGAAAAATTGTTATTATTTTGATGTCGTCCATGCATGCGTGGTCTCACCATGCTTTTCGTTTCTCACAGTGTATACCGTCATAATGGTCAGAACGTATGCTATTTCATGTGATTTATTTCTCACAATTTTTAATACAACTTGGTTGTGCTACATGTTAAATACACGATTATGATCAAGGGATGGCTTCCCAAGATTGTCCAATTCTTGACTTTTTAATGGTAGTCAAATTTGTTCCTTTAGTTAGACTCCGATTTCTGAAGAAAACTGGCGTGTGTGGATCATGCTGCAATAATGCTTTTTTTGGAACAACTTTTTGTGGTACAACTGTAACATAGGTGTGGCGTTGTTCTGACACATGCGCAAAGATTGTTCAAAGGGTCCCATTTGGCACTACAACTCTTCAAATTACTCCATTAATATCCAACCAGTTCGATTTGCGAAGTTTCCAACTATAAGACTTACCCTAGGTCGAACATGGCTCATCAATACATCTGTCCGGAGATCAAAGGAAGAAGATCGGGGAGATTTGGCAAGGATTTCTCCTACATATTTTCCAGCAAACACGGGAGTTCCATTAAAAAAAAGAGAATATCCAAGTCATCTGGAGACGCCGTCCTTGGCTCTGCTTACTGAGCCGGCAAGGGTCTGGACAGACCACGGCAATGGGGGATTGTTGGTGTGGCACAAAAGGCCCGACATCTTTAACTGTACCTCTGCGGATTTCATTACGTAATCGAGAACAACTAATCAATAGCGAATGCCATTGTGATGCTAATCTTGCCTTGAACGAACTGAATTAGGTCGTCAGGGGTCAGAAAACGTGGAATACCTCTTTAAAAAGAGGACTTTCCTGATTGCAAGTGACATTTCTTGGGGGGTACAGAGGGGTTTGCGTGATATCAGCGGTACACGGTGCCTGCACTACAATGAAACGCACAAACCTTCACATTCGATAACATAAATGCAAATTTATTTTTGTTTTTAACACTCAACATTATAAGTTACCATTGTTCAAGGGTTTGTTTTATGGAAACATAATTCCTTTGGGGGCCTACTGAAAATTAGCTTACATGTCTTCGACGTTCCAAAGAATCACATTTTGCACGAAAACTCCCGACTCAACTACATGGTTCGCTTTTTAATACATGTTTAGGCAGGGACAGGGGAAAAGGCACAGGAGTTAGATTTTTGGCCTTTAAAAATGTCCCCACTATTAATTCCTTCCGTTCTTAATTCAATACTGCCTACTAGATTGACCAGAATCCCTATTCTCGGAACAGTGTTATTTGTGTATCAAGGCGCGATTTGAGAACCTTTTTTTGCAGAAATATTCTTGGAAATTGTAGATACTTTTTTTTTGGGGGGGGGGATAAAAGTAACCTCTGTTTGCATCCCTGCATCTCATCATGCATCAAATGTAAAATGATTCTCATCAAACACATTGTCTCCAGTTGCTATGACTGCCTCCTTCATTGAATCTCAATGCATCTTGTCCAAGTCTCAGCTCTCACCAAACCACCTACACGATGATCGACATGCAGCTACAGACTTCCGTTGACAAACCATTACTTTCTTTCTTCTCTTGGCTGGCTTTCTCACAGCATGTCAAGATATTTGTTCGAATGTTTGTATCTTGCGCGTGAGTCAATAAAATATTTGCTCTGCGGGTGTTTCTGCATGTTGTCATAGCTTAGTCTGCATCGTGTCATCATTGGTTGGAAAAAAGTGAGAGCGTGGAATATACCGCTTACTCTCCTTTCATGTCTTCAACGTCCCCGGTGTGACGGAACAATACAAATGGAAGCGAAACTAACATTCCTTTTGCAAGAAGAAAAAACTCAACTAAAACTGTGCCTTTTTTTCTGCTCATAACTGAGATTGAAACAGAACAAGTTATTTCACTTGTTAGGCAAGCTGTGCCATAAACCACACATTACATTTTTCGCCTACACAACAGTTCTAATACTGAACGATTATAAATGGTCAGAATTGGTGAACATGAAAATTCACCGGGTAACGGTGCGCAAGTACGCCCTCAGCGGTGAAAATGCTAAACACCGTTGTGGTGTAGTGCATCGCTCGTGGTTTGCACTGCAATGAATTTTATTAGTTTAACGGGCGATGCAAGCTAGTTGAGAGTGCCTAGAGCAGTTGTAGTAGTATTTTGCAGTCTGAGTAGCGCCCTCTTCAGTTCGCCCACAGCCTCATACATGGCAATCATCGGACAAGAGAGGGCGGAGCAAGTAACGTAGACGCACTTCTAGTCGTTTTAATGGAGGCATAGGGGCCTTGCGCCAGATGTTTGTGGTACCGATGAGACTCTCGAAAAGCGTGGGACACTGGGAACCACCCCTCGTCTTGAATGGAACCTCTCATGGACCGTAAATCTATGCTGGATTTATCCTGCATCGAAGACGATACCATTGGATACATGGGGTCCAAAGAGAGGGCCGTGGGTGTGATGGGAGGTAGAAGGACTCCACTCCATGTGTTGGCTCCTAAGAAAATGACAAAATTGATGTGTAATCCATAATAGTTTTCAGTTTACAAGTTCTTGATAGCTGTATGAAATGACCATAAAGTCTTTCTTTGTGTTTTAATTTATGATTGTATACAACTAAACTACATAGACTAAAACAAAATGGCTGGTTTAAAGACAAATAGGACACAGAACTGAATTTCATCTTAAAATATTTGAAACTACTCATCATTGGCACAAAACGAAGTAGGAAAAACTGGGTAGGAAAACTGCTCAAGAAAATTCCAATTGTGCATTTTGTCGCCGCAGACGGTCTGCGCGAAAGTGTCTGATTTTGTAGGTTGTGGAGAGTTGCCCGCTCAATCGATAGATTGGGAGACTTTTCAGACGTTGATGGCAGCCAACCATAGAGCTATAATCTATGCAGCCAACGCATCGGTCCTTTTCAATTATTTACGTCATGTTTAAGCTAAAGCGCGCATGCTCAATGTGACGCTAACAATGGAAAAACGACCGGTGTGTTTGCTGCCACCAACGTCTCAAAAGTCTCCTACTATAATATGAACCTACTCCTTGAAAACTCCTCTGCTAAGGGGAACTGTTCTCCAAATGAAAAGCCTTTTCTTGCGCCAGGGAATTCCTGAAAAGTGGGAGGCATCACAGCGCCACCACACGACGAGTCAAATCTCCAGCCATTACCCATTCCATTGAGTATACCGCCCTCGTGTGGCCTGATTGGTGAACGTGCGTAGGTGTGTTCCTGTATCAGAGTTTCTACTCGCTCTCTGCTTGAAGATTTGAAAGAAACAAAAATAGTTTCTTGTTAATTTTTCTTTCCACAGTTAAGTTGCTGCTTTGGATTATCGAATACGGAATCGAATAAAAAGGGTGTGACCTGATGTCTGCTGTAATAGTCAGTTAAGTTGTAATTTCCTGAAAACAAAGTAAACTATTTGAGAGACTTGCTCTCGACTTGGCCTGCCTATTTGCAGACTACGTGCAAAAAATAGTACGCCCTCAGCGGTAAAATTGCTAATTTGCTAAACACTGACAAACTATTATCATGGACACTTGGCACAATTTCCGCTACGGGTTTATGCAAATTGCCATGAAAACTTGCCTCTGCTTTATATGACATGTATTTGTATTGGTGAACTTGCGAACCACGTGATTATGCCTCGCAGCGCCCTCTTGAGTTAATACTGCACGGATCGAATCCACATCGCCACCAATCGTTGCATGGTGTATTTGGCATAACGACTTCAAGGCGCGCGATAATGAGAGGTGTCTTGGCTTTATTTACTTAAACTTTATCACAAGCTTTCTGTGTTTTGTACACACTTTTTATCTCCCTTTTTTCCCCCATTGAGGTCTTGTCCATAAGATAAGATAGCGGGTGACAGCAAAACTGTCTGCATTTGTACCATTAGAGGCTTTTTAAGATTCTTAAGAATCCACAGTGACGATGTCAGCAACGCCAAGACGGTTAAATTGAAGATGCTTCAATGAAGGGCAATAGGAGCAACGGAAAGATAAAGAAATGATGCTTGTGGATCGTGTAAGTGACAGCCTTGATAAGATGTAGACGCAGAGTCTTCAAGAGGGCGACTCGAGTCCAGTTAGATAAGAAGAACGCTCGTGTACCGGTACCAGTATTATTTGTCTCGAATTTCAGCGAGTTAATGCGTTGATGACGTCACAATCTTCACGATAAACGTTCCATACAAGACTCAAAACTTAAACCAGAGTGTTTTCTTAATCACAAAAGTATTTAGCGCATGTCAAGCGGCACGTCTCAGACACTCAAAACGTTACCCATTAGAGTTTTCATCGTTTCCTAACGAATATCTCAAAGAAAACACATTTGCACGACATGTTTATGACATTATAAACACGTTTTCTAGAAGCGTACGTATGGTATCTATCATGAAGTTCACATTTTGGTACACGTTTATTGGCGTCGCTCGCGCAGTGGCTTGCACGTGTTTTAACTGCTGTTATATGCTTTCGGTGGCTGATTAGCCAATACTTTTCGCTCAATCCAATTTAAGAATATTATAACCTGGCGGTAAAGGAGGAATGGGGGCGTTTTTGCCTTTAAAATAGTGAAATAAAAAGGGCGTTATGTCACCCAAAAGCGATTGATAGTCGGTCCCAGTCCCTTCGCTGCATTGTAGACTCCAAAGGAAGAAGGCGGGAACCAGTTGAAGTCATTTACCTCAATGCTTTCCCATTTGCCGATATAAATACCGAAGTGTGTCGCGCATTCTGGTTCACGCGCATAGCTTAAGTGTGTGAAGATATCAGTACGCGAACCAGCGCATGAACCAGAGCAACAGCTGACGTCAGACTTCGGTTCTCTATTATCGACTTTTAATTTTCATTATCAAGAATCTAATGTTTGCATGCCAGAAACAACGATGCGTTGAAGGTAACCCGGAGTATTCTTTGTTATTTTAATTTTGTTACAATAAACTCACAAAGGGTTCTATCCAAGCGATATAAAACCATTGCCCTCCGGCTCCGCCTTAACGCATATGGTCTATCGTATCTGGTGTACTCTAGCTGACGGTGATGTTTTATATTCTTACCACAGAGGGGTGTTTACTGCATGGAAACCATTAGGTTGGTATCATTTTGAAACATGAAACTACCTTTCAAAATCGGACAGTCTTGAGGAATCACGAAAGCCCTTGGCGAACGGGTTGCTGTCAATCTTGAGCCGGGTTATCTGTGTAACAGGGGGAGGGGGAATAAAACGACTGAAAACAAGACCTTCACCTGACGTAGCTGATGCACACATGTTTTATTTTTTAAGGCAAGTTGATACTCAAGGGCGAATAAACGCAAATTTGTGACGTCACGTATACTTTTTTGAATTCGCACGATAAGTTGAACACATGATCGTTTTGAAACATCAAATTGTTCCGCATTCGTATTCATGTAATATATGAATCAGAATAATTGTCAGTGATTTTCCACACAATAATATTGCCATCACAATCCCCTTTGATTCTTTACACTATTAAAATGAGATCAAGGATGCACCTAGCCGCCTGTGCAGCTCCTTTTGTCTTATCCAGCCCTGGGTACGTACCCTAAATTTGTTTCCCTAGACTTGATTCCAAGTCGACTATTAGGCGGGCCCGGCACCGATTCGCTCGCCACTGGGGCATTCATGAAATAACTGCGTAGGGACGACTGCGCCTCCTCGATCCCAATGCAAGAACGTAAACGAGATGACAACATGGCGCTGGGTTGTCGGTGGACAAAACACGACCGTTTCCGACTTGAAATCAAGTCTAACTACATTTTGACTTACCAACTGGTTCTGGTAGGCGGTGACTGCAGTGAAGGCCGTCTCAGGAAACTCAAAACTTCTCAGCTCACTGCTGTTCAGTGAGGTCAATGAGGGCGCTGTTGCCCCCGCATGCGCGTCCGTTCTCCTGGCGATGTGCACGCGCGGCTGGTATCTGTGCATCGAGTTGAGAATGATCTACGGAGAGAGGGCGTTCAAAATTAATGATGATGATGTTATTCAGAGAAATGGCTTGAAGCAAGGCTCACTAGAATTAAACAGGGATTTAATTATTCAGTCTGATAATCAGCATTCAATCAGTGCGCATAATACGCTCGTTAAATTCTCTAATTCTAAAACATTCAAGCACACCCCAGGTAGGCCTATACTTGAACTTCAACAACCCAGTTATTAAAGTTCAGTCACCTTTCTCAACATCGATTACAGTAAAGTAGGAAGTGCCAACAATAATGTGGTAACACCTTGAACCATGAAGTTCTTTTCACAGTTTGGCGTCTAGACTATTTTGGGTCTAATTAATCAACATTTAAAAGTTATAAGCAGACTGACCGTCGTAGAAGTTCAAACGACAGCATCTGGGTAAGAATTAGACCAGAAAGTGTTGAAGTACGCGATAATGATACCATAAAGGATCATCATTGACAGCCAACGACCAGTCTCCAAAGACGACTCCTTGAACAGTTGTTTACAGCATTAGTTTTCTGGGATAACAAATGGCAAGACTGAAAAGTTTTCCCGGGGAAATTTATGACTACATGAAACTTGCGGATTCTCCCCTCCCCTGCCCCCCCCCCCTCGTCCCCGCGTGACGGACCCGTGGACGCACGCACAGACTTCAGAGAAAGTAGAAAGAAGAGAAGCAAGATTGTGATTGGAGGGACCGCAAGATTGTCACTCATCGGAGCGATATTTACGACTAGCTCTCAATAGCGACTGACCCCTGACACCCAAGCGAAAGTTAAAACAAGCAAAGGCGGGAATTATACGCCGGGATGTCGTTAGCGTGGCGTAGGGCCCGGATGAGGGATGACATTTTTGTCTGCAGTAAATGACGGGGTTCCAGGACTACAGGCGCCGTGGTTGTCAATGAGAAATATCTCGCTATAATGTATTATCACCGGGTAGACCCGTCCAGTACAAACACACACGCAAACCCTCTATATATCCCCAAGATATCACGCAGCCAACAGTGAAACCCAACGAACATTACAGACACATTCTCTTCCCGCTGGCCAGCTGTCATCACTAGTATGATTGAAGTGACTCGGGGCAATATCGTATATAACACCGGACAGGACGCGCCGACCGCCCGCTCCTCTATGTGATCTATGAACCGCTGACGACGACGGTCCGCTGGAAATTTATCACTGTGTTCAAGAATTACCCTACTTGTTTTACAGTGGATAGTTGTCAACATAATCCTTGTGGAAAGAAGCATTTTTCGGGAGGAAAAGAAAAAGAATTAATGGGCCCTAAACTTCCGCTGAACTTCCGGACAACACTTCTTCCCAATTTCAAAATAGGCCTAATTTTCGGATGCTGTACCGTTGGCGTTACACAAAATCAGATGATTTTTTTTTTCGCTTTTAGGTTTGAAATAAAGCTTTTTAATGCAATTTCCATAACGGAAAAGATGTTTAAAGTCGTGGAATTGTCTTCTCACTAAGATATGACACTATGTTTGCTGACACCACTTTTGTTTTTCAGAAAGTTAAAGACAGTTTCAAGAAGCTCTTTCATTGCACGTTACGGCAACAATCTTTGTCGTAACAAACTTCCAAACTTTAGAAAGCTTGTAGTCTGGTTCCCTCACCTGGCGATTAGGTCTTTCTATAAATTATAGGTCAGGTAACCGTCATATTTCAAAATAAATCACGACGCACTAAGTCTTGTCCTCGTCCAATTGCATACTCGAGGCATAACCGGACACTAAATACATTGGATTTGATATCTAAATGATTTCAGGACCGATGACGAAACCTACAGGTATTTTTTGTGAGAAATTAAACCTTTGAGCCCGAAAATACCCGAGCAGCCGAACCATTACGAACATATCCTAGTGTCAACGGAAAAAAAACTACGAGCATTTTCGGAAAAGGGTAAGATCCTATACCCGTTTTGGTCACGTGCCGTGGCGCCAACCTGCGACCTTAGATTTGTCAGAATAGGCAGAAACTTTGGTCTGGGAACTAGACATAGACTAACTTAAGTGTTGCTTCATTATTTTCAAACGGTTAACAAAACTGGAATTGTATAAACCTACGTGTCCATGCTGATCCTGCTCGTTGTTGGTCAATTTAACCTTCTCAAAGGACACCATTTGTCTCTGCAGTTGGTCACCAGTGAAGGGCGAGTCAGGATGAACGTAAAGCAGTGCGGGTAATGGAGGGTCAGCCTTGCCGGCTACCAGCCAAGAGGACCTGTGATACGCATACCTGTAATGATACAAGGAAACTTCAGTTGTAATGTCAGTACGTCATGGATATTTATAAGTAAATACACCTTTTGCATTGTTCAATATTTCAACGTGTCAAAGAACTCAAAATAGCCCACTCGTTGACGCGAGCTCTTCGCCGAAATTAGTGTGGTTCCGGACTGTCTGCCTTGCTGATGCTGAAGTCATTGACATGGAAGAGATTTGCCATTTTTAATACAATCCTTTTTAGTTAGAACAAGAGCCTATTTATTGGAGAGCATAGCAGGAAAATTATTATTATTAAGCAATATGTATGTGTTCATCAGTTCAGTTGAGAAATACTCACACGCTGTGCACTGTATGACTATTTGTTGGGTAACAGTTAATTTGTTAGGATTTGCCAAGTAGATATTTTCATTGCTTAACAACTTTCTGAACTTGTATACAGCTTCATGATATTGGTTGATACACAATCAGTCGTGGATGCCTACCTGTAGCGTTTATTATCCAGGGGAACGATGTCCAACATAACAACGTAGCGAGCTTCTGCTGATACTCCACTGAAGGACACGCGTACGGTGGGAAACATCCGTCTATAACCATACAGAACAAAACAAATCTGTGTTTTTACATTTCATTTTATAAATTTCACAAAAATTATTGCTAAAATACAAAAATGAAGTGACTTGTATGTACTTAATTTGAGATTCCGAATACCGTACGAAGGGGAGAGAAGCTCTGACCAGGGCTTAGTGCATGAAGTGTTCAGGTGGTCGAGGGTTCAAATTCTATGACTCCCAATGTCTCTGTTAATGCTTATTTTTTATTTTACAAATTGGTTTCAATTTAAAAACGATGAAAGGTTTTCTGGGTTGAAATTTCGATTTCAATTTCAGTTTTCCAGACGTGCAGCTGGGAAGTTACAAAAACGAGGAACAGTCAAACTATAATGTTTCAAGTAAAAAGGAAATCGAGCTAAAAATATAATGACCTCAGGAAAAGTTATAAAAGATTATGTCAAAATATTCCAAGACAGTGCAAGTAACCAAAGTGTTTATTTTGGTAGAGGTGAACATTCACATTTCGTTTCTACACTTATTTTGTATACCTGCCGGTTTTGGTAATAATCATCTCAGTGCCAAGATCGTGAAATTTCTCCCAGAGCTCTCTGGTTTCCAACCGGCAGCGAACAGCCGACATCTCATCGGAGGAAACCTGCCCCTTGTCCCCCTCGCCTACCGCCGGGCCAACGCTCGGGGATGAGTCCTGACCGGACTCAGGCGGGGAGTTGGATGGGTCCAAAGTGAACGCTGGACGGTGGAGCTGACGAGATGGCGACACGGTGCTGTGTGTTGCTGGGCTGAGTGGGGCGTGATGGGCGGAGACTTGGGTGCTGCAGGTGAGGGGTGTAATGATCGTTGGCGCTGGTTGCAGGTAACCTTTTTTGGAGAAGAAATGGCATCATTCTTATGAATATGGCTTGCTTCCTTTTTAAAGAAAAAAGGTACTACTTTATTATCCTACTACTTAGTTCTCGATACTTAATTAATTAATTCTATTAAATGGAACAGATGAAAAACATGGTGAGCCCAATTCAAATTCGAACAGCCCATCTGGTCTCTAAGGACGAAGAATGGTCAATCTTATAAGACCACCCTGGGTTTCACTGCCTCTAATTTGAAATCTCTTTTCACGCTGAACAAAGCATCATCAGCTAAGAAGAAATATATACGCAACAGAAGAGCCCAGGAAACGTAGGGTGGATGTTTGCAATGACAAATCGTACAAATACAGGCGGTAATTTGATAAACACCAACAGTGAAGAACACAACACGAAATACTCAACAAATCAAATAAATTATTATCATTATTTATAAAGCATTATTATTTTTGTTATAGATTCATTTCACTTAATTTGAGTGGAAGCTGGCAAGTGGTTCAAATTTTTGTTCACAGACGATGAGTGCTTCTACCAGAAGCAACCCCGACCTGATGCGGTGGGTGAAACCACAGCACCCCCTGGCCCACTCCACAAAGTACAGTGCCCGTTGGGAAAACTGGCACCGCGGTTGACATTGGTTCACTTAACTTGTCATCACCCGTGATAGTTATAAACCAAGAACGGTTACTTCAGTTCCGCATCGAGACTTGCCAAGACTGCGTAACGGGGTTTGGCTACCGGGTGCACATGCCCTGTAGCCCGTCTCCCCACACGGCAATTAGAAGCCAAGTTAGCGGTCCAAAAAAGAAATACATCTATAAAACAAATTAGGAATGATAAACTGTTCTCTAAACGTCGATTTTTATTAAAGTAGGCCTACTCATTTGATGACTTGCCTTGAGCGTAAAGGAGTCAAATTGGCTGTATCGTCGGTGTAACAGTACCGGGTATTATTCAGGGATTACAGCATAATTAGTTCCGTTGGTTCGTGCATGATTGATTGGTGATGTTTATTAAGTTGTTTTTCGATTACAACTTTGACCGGGTAGCCAGTGTGCCAAACTCGACGGGTGGGATAAAGTATCAATGAACCCCCACTCCTAGGGTGGGGAGTAGAACCACTATTTTGAAGGGGCGTGGAAAAGGGTAAACAGAAAATTCGCCAGCAGACAAAAATCAACTCTTAATTATTGGTGGGAGTGATTTTGTTGAAATTTAAAGCACGGAAAAAAACAATAAACGTAAGGCCATTGACTCACACACAAAAATAAACGTGTACGTTAAAGTAAATTTGAAATGGACAATCCAGTAACTGAATGTATACTTTTTTCTTATTGTTTCAAAACTTTGACAGGTTGGCATTTGTGCAGCAAATTATGACAAAAGCAAAGCTTTAGAAAAATGGCACGAAGTTTTATATTTCATATCGAAAGAACGAGTTCAAAAACTTATACCAGTCCCATTGGAAAAAGTATTAGGATTACCCACAATTTACAAGGTAATGAGAAAATACCGAAATTGGTTCAATTCTACATTCTTTAAATAAAAATGAATGGATGATCTTTTAGTGTACTGATGTTGATGGACTATTGATCAGAATAACAACAAACTTTGAACCAAGTACTTTGAGGTTTTGTGGTAAAATTTGATTCAGTTTGATGCGATATCTGTGATAATTTTGATGAATTATGACGCAATTTTGTTAAAGACAAGCGATTAAAACTTTGTAACTTTTTTGCCCTTGAGGCCGAGATTCAAACCCGCGATCCACCCGTACTAAAACCTAGCGCAAGAACGTCGGGGAAATGAAATTGTGGATACCCAGATTTGTTCTTCATCGACGTATAACTTTATAATCATGTATTGAAAGTGGATTTTGAAATTGGAAAAAAAATACACTCGTGGCCTTTCTATTTTAATTTATTTTTATAGGGTGGGTATGGATGAAGATAATTAATGGTCCGAGAGCAACAGTTGTGTATACTCAACTGAAACTAAATTTTAACGGTGACAAAACAGCGAGATGGCAAAACGGCAATTTGAGAACCAGGAAGATTGCACGTGACATAAAAACTTTTTCATCAGTAAGAGGAACAAATTATTTTTGAAGAATGTATTGTGTGTGTTTTTTTTTTTATTGTTTAGACCTAATATCTTCCGTCCTGACAACTGTTTTCACTTGGTCTCTGACAATCTGCCTTTGAGCCATCAGGAGCAGTGTTTTAGAAAATCAAGTTATTTTGATAATGTGTTGTAGAAAAAATATTGGAGATATTTTCCCGAGTTACGTCTTGTAGATAGAGCCTTGAATTTTGTTTTCAATAACTCACACTTTTATCTCTCAAGAAAATTATGCAGTTTTTAGTGACTTCGAAGAGCTGTCTGGGTTAATTTGTCCTTTTCTTGCAAAGGCATTTTTTTCTTGCTGGCAATCTAATTTTGCGTGCCGGATAAAATTATATACTAAACATTCTGGCTTTAGTTCAAGTGTATTTCGTACCAAACACTATTGGCAATTGTTTTCAAGTAACTTTCTTAATTCTTTTGCGAGCAAGCTTGCCATAATGTCAATACCACTCTTATTAAACTTTCAAAAACACATAATTATTAGTAGTCACGACAATTTATGGAGAGGTTTCACCATTATTTTAATCTGAACTGAAACCTCGAATTCCAAAAAGTCTTCGATAGAGAAAAGTTAATCCAATCCTTAGGTTAATTATGGTAAAGTATTATGGAATGCATCTACACAACCACCAGCTATAGAACGTCTTCGTCAAGGCACGGTCATTTGGGGCAGACCAATTATTGATGACAGAACAGTAAAATGAAAAACCAGTTTATGCGTAATACCGAATTAAATTTCAATAATAAGCTGCGAAAACATATCTTTGTAAATTGCAGCAAACCGGATGATTTAGCAGTGAACGACGTTTGACGAAAACCAAATTGGTCCGAAACATTGCATGAAGATCAGGAAAAAAGGTTTGAGATTTCTTAGGGCAATAATGCAGACGGGGAAAAAGAAAAAGAACTGCAGAAAACTTTACCGGAGTGGTTCTGCGTTGGGTGCAGGTCCTCACTTGCCACCTCTGATGTCCTCGTTTTGCTGCTTGCCATCAGAGCATCGATAGAGAAAGCGTTGGCCCGACTGGAGAGCTGTGACTTGGCAGGCTTGGGTTGGCTACCGGGGTCCTCCATGATTGTCCTCGGTTGGATCACAATCAAACGTCTTAGCTTTTGTTACTTGTCTCTTGTTATGTCATGTATGTCCTGGATTTTGAGGGGTTTTCTCACCTTCTGTAATAAAGGCTTTATCTCTTTTGCATCGACAGTTCAGTTCAAACGATCAGCTCAATAAAATACTGCGGTATGAATCTGGAATAAAAGTCGTCATCCAAGCCATACAGTTACCAACGACAATATAACTACACAGAATCAGCATTCACTTGGTCTCCGTCAGTGAATCACACCAAGGTTTGTTTAATTCAAAGTGCGCTTGCCGTGCACTTCGGAGAAAAGTTTGGAGGAGACGCGACTGATGAAGCAACCGGTGACTTGCAGATGGTATCTGCAGTCGATCTGGTATCGTTTAATGCTTGAAGAAAGTTCCGATGTTCAGCTAGAGATTGCCTTGGGAGTTCATTCCATTTCTGTGGTCGGCTTCAAGTATTTACGAAGTTTTTACAACTCCGCAGAACATTTCGCATTTAGCACTCTATGAGAGCCCAGCTACAATATAACATTGTTTGTTTGTTTGTTTGTGTTTTATCCCGCACTCTTGCTGCGTTGCATCAGAGTGATTTAAGACGATTGGTGAAATAAGAAAATCGATCAAGTAAAACCGGTCCAAGGCAGAGATAAATTCGACAGTCGTTCAGCAGTCAACCATTCCGACCGCGAGACACCCACACCACTCACTCAGCCTCGGCAGCTATAAAACGCCAGTCACGCTTCATCCACACTCGACGAAGTACGGAGGGAGACTGATGTTGGCGCGTCTCAACCGACGCGCTAACATTACCCAACAAGCTTGATGACAGCTCAGAAATGTTCACTACGAATGCCTGTCTCCAATCTTAAAACAAAAAGAGGAGGGAGGATCATCCGTGGACGCCTACTCCGCGCTGAAATTTCTTTAAGACTTATAGAGTGAGGATGCCAGCTACATCAGACGGTATCTTATCGAGATGCTTATAACGTGTAGTTGGGTTAATGTAAATAAAATGCTGGCTAAATGGATTGGACCTCACGTAGTGATAATCTGTCTGGCTTTTAGTAACGCATTTACAACACCGATGAAGATGACAAGTTCTGCAAGTTGTCAGCGTGATTGGTCCGAGGATAATGCGGGAGTGATCCCCGGTGCAGGACTCCGTGTGACTCGGTGAGGTTGTCTCGAGTCTCGGAGACTGAAGGGGGCCTCTAAGTGGCCAGTCACGGGTGCTGGGAATTCAGTGTTTGACGCTGAACAGTGATCGCTATCAACACTTTGTTACAGAATCCTCAAAGCTTCGGCATGTCGGCCTTGGATAAGTTGCTTTTAACACACTTCACGCTCCGCACAAATTGCTCCCCAATCAGCACACGCACCCCCCCCCCCTCTGTGACGTCACTGAATTTAGACCAACCAAGACTACTGTATGAAAAAATATTGATTTCCCATCATGCAACTGCAGACACACCCGTATACTCCTTTCTCCCAGTGACGTCATTAGATAGTTGTCCAACCAACGGTACCACTGTGTATTGAAACCAATTGGCTTCCCATCATGCAAAGGGAAACGGTTTTTAGAGGTGACATTCCATCACGTTTTAACAGCAACTCGGTGAAGTAGAGCGTAACATAAAACTGAGGTC